GCAGCACAATATCCTTCTGATAACAACTCAAAATTATTAACCTGAAATTGCCAACCCGCCTGCAAACGTGGCAACTTTGGTAAAACTCCCCTAAGATAAAATCTTTGGAGGAGGCCTATCTTCAGCAGTGGACTTTTGATAGACTGTAGCGATAATGGTAACGGATGTAGGAATAAATGAGAATGCATCTGTCGTACTTCGGTATCTTCGTTCACATACTTTATCTCTTGATTAGTTAATAACTTTCAATTATTCGGGAACTGCTGCCATAGGCAAAAGTCAATTGGGAGGGTATAATCATCAAAAATACACGTCTGAACGGAATGGAATGGTATAGAATATATATAAATTGATATTATAAAGTACGTTTGCCACTGCTGTAGAAAAATCTTCCATCCTGGAAGAAATTTGTTCCTTTAATTGTTCACATTACAACTTTATTCTATTCACAATAATGGTAAAATTAATTTTCATATTATAAGAGCCGAGGTGGTAGCTCAGATGGTTTACGATCGCTGTAAATATAACCGCGCCGGCATCAATGAAATTGTTAATTGCAATTTTAAGTGCTGATTTACCAGGTGCTCGGCGGTGAACGAAAACAAAACACAGGTGAGGAAACCTGCATGTCTGAGAGATGAGAAAAAAATATTTCGAAGACATGTGAAGTTCGCCAACACGCATAGGGGCTGCGCGTCGGATACGTCGGATACTTCCTAAACTTCGAAAACTTGCCCTAAAACCCTCTCAGAAATGAGGGCGGCCTGTGCCCAGCAGTGGGACGTATATAGGCTGTGTGCCGGTGTTCGTAAAGAGCTTTGCGGATTGTGTTACACGACAAGAATTAAGGTCCGCCATTTCCGGAAATGACGGCTTAGGACGTACTCGAAAGCAAGCCATACATCTGTGCACCCGATTGCGGATTAAATTACGTGCAGAAAGAATCCAATAATTATGATTCAAGATTGACTTGAATCAACAAGTCAGTGCCAGCGTGAGAATTCAATTTATGGTGGTAATCGACTAATAAATTCATGATATGGTCCTTACGCGGTAAAACTATAGGGTGCCGTTGATCGAAACTCAACTGCGAGTTATACAAGCGCCCACCTCTCTAACGATTCCATCTTGTAAAAATGGCTTAAGGAGTAGAAAAGCGCGACTACAAGTTCTATTCAATTGTAATCTTGTAATTTCATCGGAAAAATGTGCACGTTGAAGTTCACGCAATACTGGCAACTCTGCGTAGCTATAATCGGACGCAACGATATACGAACAAACACCACGTATTGACTTCTAAACTACAAAGGCTACATTGTAATGACAAAAATGATTTAAATGTAATACAGCTTCAGCGCACTGCTGTGGCGCAGCTACACTATACTACCTTGTTTTTATTTTTATGGAACACTAACAAGCTAAACAAACACCAAGCAAAATACAAATATATATCTCTATCAACGACAAACTAATATTTAGATAATAAAACTACCTTAACACAAATATGCAATTTCTAAGCGACTAAACTATAAGTATTAATAGGCGGTAAAACAATGCAATGAACGCTTCGGAACAACACTGCTTATGGCTTGTTGCTCGCGAAGCCTCACTTTCCTCCGCCAAGCAAGATTGGCCTCAGAAGGTCTATTCCTTAGCCTCCAATGAGGTACGCTTTCTGGCGCAGAGGCTCGGCGTCTCCATGCGCCGCGAACGTGAACTCGATCGGCGCCGCGCGCGATTCCACTAACGACATCGATTCGAGTCCCTGGTTGCGAAACACGTGCACTAAATATGTCACCTGATGTTTTGCGGGGCGATCTAACTTTAATAAATTTGGCCTTCTTCGCGGTGTCGATAAACCTAGCTCCAATGCTATCCCTACTCGGCGTTCCCTTCGACTGCGACGAAACTACAACAGGTTTACTAATAACAGACTCTAACGTCTTGCTTCTCGACCCTTCGCATAATTTATTACCCGAGCTAAGTAAAGACGGGACGTTCCCCTCCTCTATTTCCCGAAAATTGCGAGTCAATAATTTGGGAGGTTCGACAGCCATATAACAATAAGAGGTTGTCGAAATATTATCCATGATAGAGGTGGAACCAACGATGACGTAGCCCAAGACGGTCTCCATTGCGTAAGGTGCGGCATACGAGGAGTTGCCCCTGACCTTCTTGTGTAACAAAAGATGAGGGAATACCGATGCTCCAATGAGCATGTCTATTTCTCCGGCGAGGGCGTAAGTATCGTCTGCCAGAGTCAAATTCTCAGAATCAATCATTGTTGAGGTGTCGACCGAAACGGTTGGCAGACGCTCGGTGACTTTATCTACTACATCTGGGGCAACTGGGCGTGTACATGCATGTACACGCCCTTAGTTGCCCCAACAAAGATCGACGAAACCAGGGCCCATGAGTGATCCCCTCGACGAGCAACCAAGGGTGGAGCCCAATGGCTTATGTATAATTAAATTAGAAAGGTTAGATACGCAAACACAAACCTTACCGAATTCCAGAAGTGTAGGGTCTACCACAAGGTGGCGTCAGGGGCAAGTAAATGGCAGTTGGTATGTTGTGTGGGAAGTATATAGTGTAACCTGACGTCACCAATACGGTCAGATAGCTGCACTACGTGCGCCGACCGCTCCACAAGACGCTCACCGCTATCGTAGCCCAAGTTCAGCGTCACTTAGCACGAACTATAATCGCGCGCGATCTACACAGGGATCACAAAATTCAGCGTTCGCAGCGACAAGGTCAAAGTCTTATCACGCTATCAACCGACGCACTAATAACTCGTCGATGCAACTAACGGCATAAAAGTTCCTTTAATCACACCAAACACCAAGTATGTCTCTTGAAACGTAACACGTTCAAAACAGGCAACTAAATTTGAGGCGGTCTAATTAGACCCCAATGTTCAATAGTAAAGTCAAAATGGCGCGCACAATTAACACAAGCTTTAGGCATTCGAGACAGCACAGGCCGCGCCCAACCGTCTAACAATCGCAAACAATACTCAAACTGTTACAACAATAATTATATAATATAGCCTCGTTATCACGAAAAAACAAATTAAGATAAACTGTAAGAGGCTCGTGACTTATAATCGACCCGGGCTCCGCGCAAATAAAAAGATCAAGAATAAGCCTCGTTATCACGGATACGTACAAATAAGATAACACAATGGAGGCCGCTGCAATTCTTAAGTAACCCGGCACCGCTGCACCGCTCTTACCGGTTCTTGCAGACTGGACGAGGCGCTCGCTGGCCAAGTTTTATTATCTCCATTGAATACTGGAATATATATGGGGGGAAATCTAAGTGAACCCTAAGCTCGTAACAATATGATTGATAACTGAATAAAACCAAATTTACGGATTCTATCGCGTTTATTTAACTGATTTTACTTATTTTTAATTCCCGACGTTTCGGGTGCTTTACAGCAACCATGGTAACGGGGGGGGACTGAGACGTTTGACGTCCCAATGTCATTGTTAGCCCGGCTACCTTCAGTTTTTGAATATTAATTTTTGGTCCGATTTACGCAAAACGAACATACAGTATTCCGAAGTGTTGCAGTGGTACGCTTGGGTTTGGGTTTAATTTTGTTAATTATAGGATCCCAAGCAGATGGCAGCACCCAACCATCTTCTTTATTGAAATTAGGATGATTTTTAATTTCAATAGCCTCGCGTATCATCCTTGGTAGGAATCGGTGTTCTTTTGAGAGGATTTGTGGTTTATCAAATCTGATGTAATGGTGGGGACGATTTTGAACATGTTCACAGACTGCAGACTTCCCGGAGAGTCGGTGCTTCACGTGAGCAATATGTTCTTTTACGCGGGTTTTTTTGGATCTTTTTGTTTGACCTATGTAAGAGAGACCACATTCACAATCTAACTTGTACACTCCTGCATCTTGTAGAGGGATATTACACTTGACGGATGATAAAAATTGACTAATCATCTTCTGCGGCTTGTAGTATGTTTTAATGGAAGCTCGCTTCAAGATGTAGTCAACCTTGTCTGTGACTCCTCTGACATATGGGCACAGCAGGCACACGCTAGACTGTGGCCGGCTTCACCCGGTCACTGTGACGTAGGCGCGGGATCCTAAGCTTGTTGTCTTGCAACACTTGCTTGACATGCTGCAGCTCGGCAGCCAGATGTTTTCTGTCACAGATCCTTCGTGCTCTCTGAAACAAAGATTTACCCACGGTAGCTAGCTGTGAAGGATGATGGTGAGATCCACCATTTAAATATCGGTTGATATGGGTCTTTTTTCTATACAAAGTGTGACCAATAGTGTTATCAGGATTTCGAATGACTAAAACATCTAGAAAAGCTAAAGAATTATTTGCCTCCCACCTCGGTTGCAGCGGTTCGTTGAGTACCGAGGTGGGCCGGACCAGTTTCCCGAACGAGAAGAGCGGTTGCTAGTGGATTGAGAGCCGGAAGGTTTTGGATGATCTTTTTGATTTGCAGACCCTGTCGTTCAATAGCTCTGGCTGCCTTGACCTTTTCTGAAAGTTTGTTACCGAACAAAGTTTCGTCTCTTACTGAATCTTGAGCTAGGTGGAGAAAGTTCTTATCCAGGTTTGGTGTAATTAGCTTTATGCGGCTATTCGTATTTATCGTATGCAAATCCGAAAGAATACGGCAGGCATTGCTAAGATGTTGGATAGCGTTCTTCTTGTCGTCCCCACTTAAGAGAATATTGAACGCCCTGTTAATGGCCGTTATCCCCGACCCGAGTTGCTGTTGGTGAACTACCAGTATCTTATCTCTGTTTCTTACAGAGTCTATAAATGCTGCTGATATTTCTGCGTTTTGTTTAGGTGCTTGCAGTAACCTACAGTTGTCCGGGATTAGTTACTCCTTCAGAATTTTTTCCTTTTTATTTTTTGGCAAGCCTCTGATGAGTAGAAGAAGCCACAATTTGGCTAAACTCTCGTGAATTCTTTCTACAAACTCTGGGGTATCGCTGGTGGACTCACCGAGGGCTTCTAAAAGTTCAGGGTCCAATTCTGGTTCAGATGATGCACCGTTCGTGTTTTGTTCCGTCGAAGTTGCCTCTAAAGCATGTGGCTCTAATGGTTTCTCCGCCCTGGTCTCTGGTCTAGACTCTGGCTTCAGTGTGGGCTCAGGTTCCGGAATAAGCTCGGGCTCCAGCATGGGCTCAGGTGTTGTGGGACTCTGCCCTGAAGCAATCCAGAGGTCCTTCGTGTTAGCTATAAGGTTTAGCTCAGGATGGTCGGCGTCTTCAACACCTAAAAATAATATTTTTAGGATTAGAAAAGTGGATTACTTCAACGAACGAGGCTCACGGCCTGCCCTGATGAAGAATTTTGTTTCAACGAACGAGGCTCACGGCCTGTCCTGATGATGGTGATTTTTTCAACAAACAAGGCTCACTGCCTGTTCTGATGAAAGCTGATTACATGTGTAAAAAACAACACGTGCTAACGAAACAAATATTACGTAACGTAACGTTGTATTATAACGATTGACTCGTAGTCAATCGTTATAATACAAAAATAAATATGCTTACCTTCATTATTGGAAGATTGTGATGATATGACCCGTATTCGGCGATGTCGTGCGACATCGCGTTCACGTAATTTTCTAATTTTTCGTTCGTAACGCTCGATTTTTTCTTCCGCACTTCGTTTTGGCATTATAAATTTTTAATTATAAATACTTTACAAAAAAAGGCAAGAATAAAGTGTAGACTTATTAGGAGACGCGTGCTGTCGTCACCGTGCACGAAAAAGGAATGAGCTCAGAATGGCGACTCACTCCGTCCCCGAGTCAGCGGTGGTAGGGGTAAGTCGGTTCACAGCCAACTTTAGTTTAGTCAGTTGAGTGTCTTTTAAAGCGTGCAAAGTCATCTGTAGGTTAAGGGGGACTACCTGGTGAGTAATTATATCTGAAAAATGAAGCGATGAAATATAATTTACTATAACCTTAGTTACAAGAAAGAAAGAAGTGTTTAGCGTCATTAGGTTTTAAATAGAATGATGAGTTGCAAATGCATTAATGGACTACAGCGGTACATAAAATATTAATCTGGGAAAATATAAAACTTACATACTTCGCTTGTATCGCTAATAATAAAACAGTGGTAAATTAAACAATTAAAAAGAAATTTAAAAATAATTATAGGTAATAATTTTCTATTGTAAGATATTAAAAAGTTATGACAAGGTAAAAATAAGTAATGTGTGAAGTAATAATTAAAAAATAAAATAAAGATGGATTTATTCAGTAAAATTAAGTACGGTATCGTTCATACCTATCATGTTATAATTATCACCTTCATAAATAAAACTAGGTATGGTAATGGTAATAGTTATTCTGACAGATGCATACACTGATTGCCAAAATATGTTAGCAACAAAATAAATTGTTGTAGTAAGAGGAAATTATGTAAAAATCTTAAGAACTATAAAAATTTTATGATATTGTTACGCGCTCAAGTCGACGATACACTAGCGCCATCTAGTGTCAGGAATGAGAGCGAGGGGAGCATTGAGAAAATGACATCACAAATCACTCAACCGACAGCGCCTAGTCGAAACTCGAACTCTCGGTACCTTACGCGTGTTTACTTGAACATTCTGGATATTTTGCTAATTTATATAAGTAGGCGCTGCAAGATGCGATCGGGGAGAGTTGAACTCGGCGACACAAGCGAAGCTTCGGAGCGGAATTAAGTGAATTAGTGTGTTTAATTACTAGTGTTTTAAGTTTTAATTTGTGTAAAGTAAATTAAAGTGTTAATTTAGGTAATTTTATCGGCAATTCTTATTGTCACGAACCTCAAGCTCGTAACAATTGGTGTCAGAAGTGGGATAAAATCATGCCGATTTTACCTAAGGAGGAAACGGAGGGTGTCCGTAACCGAAGTCAACGCCAGCAGGAGACGGACCAACGAAGATTTGCTGGTGCAACGCCGCAGACGTCGGAGGGCCAGCCGTCGGCTGCAGGCCCGTCAGTAGCTCCTACATCTGGAGCATCTGACTTAGGTTCTCTGATGGTGATGTTGCAGGAACAGGTTCGTCAGTTGAAAGAGCAGCTGCAGAGCGGACAGGAGGAACAGGTCCGTCAGTTGAAAGAGCAGCTGCAGAGCGGACAAGAGGAACAGGCCCGCCGACAGGAGGAACAGATGCTCCTCATGAAGGACCTTCACGCTACCTTCGGGAAGGAGATAAAGGAGGTGAAGGATAGGTTACTCAGCATGACAAACGCCTGTCGGAAGCTGAAACCCAAATCGCGAAAGCTGAAAACCGAATCGAGAAAGCTGAAACCCGAAACGACCAAGTAAACAATCGGGTTGACAACGTAATGGCTGACATGAAGAAATGGACGATCTCAAACTTGGAGATGGAGCTACAGCTCCCGTAGTAGCTACAACACCTTCGCTACGTGGGTTCGAGGTGCCACCGTTCGACGGTACCTCTTCCTGGTCAGCCTAAAAAATCCAGTTCGAGGCTGTTATGAAGGCGAACGGCTGGAATAAAAGTCAGGCCTCGACTGCACTCACACTAGGCCTGCGCGACCAGGCCTTAACAGTTCTGGAAGCTCTCGGTTAGGAAGTGACTTATGAGCAACTCCTTGAGGCATTGGAGGCGAGATATGGTGACGCTCACCTGGAACACGTCTTTCGTGCGCAGCTTAAAGATTGTGTGTAGCGCATCAACGAAAACCTGCAGCAGTGGGCTCTAGAAGTGGAGAAGCTGGTGCGAAAAGCATACCGGTCTGTACCTGCGCTCATTGAAGGGAACCTGGTGCAGACATTCATCGACGGCATCCGTGACCTGGAAGTCAGAGCTGCTGTGAGGCTCGGGCACCACGAGACGCTTAAGAACGCCTTGGCCCATGCACTGGAGGTGGAAGCCGTGCGGCAGGATCATCGTTCCCATCGCGTCAGGGAGGTTGCAGCAGCTACAGTTTGCGACCGCAACAAAGGATACAGCCCAAGGTGCTATGGCTGTGGGGAAACGGGCCATCTTCGCTCCAGCTGCCCTAAGCACACCCTAGGAAGGGAAGGTGAACGGTCTCAGAAAGGAAGTGCGGCTAACAGCACCGCCCAGCAGCAGCAGGAATACGACTTTACTATCAGACACTGCAGCGGGAAATCTTACGGTAACGCAGATGCATTGACAAGAAGACCTTGTCCTGAAGATTGCAACCATTGTAGTAGGCAAGAGAGTAAGGAAGTGGTATCCGTGAGGATGCTCAGGACAGACCACCTCAGCAACGGGTGGAAGGACAGCCTACGACATGCACAGCAGGAAGATCCGGACATCAAGCCGATTCTGGGATGGATGAAGGCCCGTGCTACCAAGCCTAAGTGGAGGGACGTCTCAGCGATGAGTTCAACCACGAAAAGCTATTGGGCCCAATGGGACAGCTTGCTGGTTCAGGATGGAGTCCTGTGCCGTAAATGGGACAATGGTCGAAGGGACAGCTGTCGTTTGCAAATGGTTGTCCCTAAAGCTAAAGTGCCGAATGTTCTACAGCTGTGCCATAATGGTCGTTCAAGAATCTATCTGGGAGTTAAACGAACTCTACTGAAGGTCCGAGAACAGTTTTACTTGGTCCATTATCGTGACGATGTCGAGGATTGGTGTCGTACGTGTACAAGTTGTGCGGCCGTGCGGGGACCTCAGACACGTAGTAGAGGAGCACCGAAATTGTACAATGTTGGTGCACCACGGGATAGAACAGCCCTTGACATTGCGGAGCCGTTACAGGAAGGCGCAAGAGGGACTCCTAAGATCGTCCATGTCAATCGCTTGGCGCGTTATTATGGAGCCGATAATGCTCGGGACGAGCATGTCTTAGGAGGGGGCAGTGTTACGCGCTCAAGTCGACGATACACTAGCGCCATCTAGTATCAGGAACGAGAGCGAGGGGAGCATTGAGAAAATGACATCACAAATCACTCAACCGACAGCGCCTAGTCGAAACTCGAACTCTCGGTACCTTACGCGTGTTTACTTGAACATTCTGGATATTTTGCTAATTTATATAAGTAGGCGCTGCAAGATGCGATCGGGGAGAGTTTAACTCGGCGACACAAGCGAAGCTTCGGAGCGGAATTAAGTGAATTAGTGTGTTTAATTACTAGTGTTTTAAATTTTAATTTGTGTAAAGTAAATTAAAGTGTTAATTTAGGTAATTCTATCGGCAATTTTTGTTGTCACGAACCCTAAGCTCGTAACAATATAAATAGTGACTAAATATATTGTGCATAACCCATTTTGGTTGCTATTAGTAAAATGAGGTTAATAATTTTGTGCTTTAAACCTTATATATAATAATGTATATATAACGTTATGTAATATATATTCAGTGGCAAATTTCTGATCTTAGTTGGTAACTTAATAATATTACAAAAAAAAACATTAAACGCATAAAACCGTTTGAAATATCAATTGACACTTCTCAACTGGATGGAGAGAAACCAATGGATGAGACAAAATTTGGGTTTTAGTCCTTCATTGAGAGTAAATTACATAGATATTATTCGATATTAAAGTAGTATATGCTTATATTTCTGAGAATGGTAGAATACAAGACAAAACTTTGAGCAAAACAATATAATGATAATGAATAGTAAACTTACTACAACGAAATAAAAATTATGTTGTACATTTTTACCCAGAGTTGAAAAAAAAATCCTGCTTCATATATTAACAAGATAGAGAGGGTTCTATTCATTAACTATTGAGGATTCAAAACTTTAAATTAAATAAAAATATGGAAATTTAACATACAATATATAATTGAGCCAAGTAACCAAAAAACAGTCAGAGGAAGTCTTTCAAGTCTATTCAACAAGATCATAAAGCAGGGTAAAAAGCTAAAACTACTGATCAAATTAGTAACGAGAAATAATAAAATTATTATGTACTTAACAATGTGGTTCTGTAGGCATGACCCAGAAACCATGGTAGTTATATTAGATTGGGGGACGATTCTTCTTTTATGTATTTCCTCTTAATGTCGATGAGTCTAAAAACCATAGGTTTTTGCTTTTTTCACATGAGCAGTAAATGTGAAAAAATGAATTATTTATTTTGAATAAAATAACAAATTATTATTAACACTGCATATATAAAGATAATTATACTTCTGTGTCATGCTACAGTCATCTCATAGACATCTCATACACATCATAGTTTACTATTAGTGAAGTATTTTGTAAAATACGGCACTCCAAGATTCACTCCAAAATTCATACTAAGAATTATAGTGAACTCTCCTATGTCAAATACTATAAATTATAAAATAATAAAATAATTAATTCTTTATCGTACCAAATTGAAGTAATTGTAATGAATTTCATTCATGAACTTTTTGTGCCTTTTACTTAGGTTTGAGTTAGAGAAAGTTGAAATAGACTTAATAATAAGTAACTTTTAGATTATTAACTACAGAAGATTGCAATAAATATTGAGAATACAAAAATTTACAAAAACTAGTAACAAGCTGAGCAGTGATGAGTTATGGGTTATAATATACATACATTGTCCTTCAACAAATATTACATTTATTCAAAAGGGAGCTCAGATGTATAGTTAAGATACAGATAGAATTTCACTTCAACAGGGTTTGCATGGGAAAAAATAAATGAGAAGGGGTTGAGCCTTTCTTGTGAATATTTTAA